TCTAACTCCGCCCCTCCTGTCCTATCATAGGCTCCTGCACTTGAGCTCCATATGATGGACAGGAGTGACGTGGGCATTCTGCCACACAGGGTATTACATTGTCCTCTTTTTCTCTGAGGAAGAAGAGGAGGAATTGCTCGAGTGCGTCCTCTGGAAATGTAGGCTCCTGGCTTCAGGCAAAGCATGGGGGCAGGGGCAGAGTTACTTCTTTGTTGTTCTTCCTCCTCCTTAAGCTCCTGCTCCTGGCTGAGCTGAAAAGATTCTGCCTTCTTTCAAGTACAACCTCTTTGCTTTTGCTTGCTCTCCGGGTGGCAGTTTCTTCAACCACTTGGGACAGTGTCTATCTTCCAACCACCAATCTCTCCAGACTTGCCACAATACAAAATTGCTTTGCTTTGTAAAAGCAAGGCATGCAAGGTTCCAGCTCATTTAGCCGTTTCATTCAAATGCAGTTTATCTGCTCTTATGCCTTCAGTTATGAACTGTAACTGCTACACTCCCCTGTTCTGGCAGAATACAGAAAGCAATTCACCTTGTTGAGTCATAACAAATATTCCAATGTAAAATGGATTTTGGAATATTTCCTACATCTTGCAGGTAAATTACACAAAAAAAGTGTGTATTTTTTTGGCTTTTTGATGGGCCCAATAAAAATATTACACTAATATGGGCTTACTGAACAGATGACTATAAACCCTGTCTGTGTCATCTGTACTCGCCTGTGTCCTTGCGGTGCACCTGTCTTGTGCGTCTGTCTTCCATATTGTCAGTGGTTCCATGCTCCCACCTCTTCCTCCTAAACTGACTCATAAGCTATTCAGGGCTGGTCCTGCCATCAGGCAGAGTGAGGCAGATGCCTAGGCAGCAGATTTCACACATCATGAAAGGGCAGCAAATGGTTGTTTGTTATTATTGAAATCTTATTGCCCCAGATGTGGAAAAGTGGTTGTGGTATTTTCTGTTCAGCTAGGCTTTAAACAAACGATTAGCTGCCAAGAGAGTCTTTACCATTTCTCTGCAAGTACTGTGGAGCTTGTACTTTTTACCCTTTTCCTGCTTTTTAATTGTTTAAATGATTTTTGTTCATTTGCTTTGTCGTGGGCAAAAGTGAGGTGAGGAAAAAGAGGAAGCTCGAGGGGACCTAGTGGAGGAGGAAAAGCACCCTCTTCAACTACTGTTGCCATGCTTAGTAGAAGGCCAACATTTTCTCAGGAGGCGAAAAGCCCTTCCTGAGCACTATGTCCAGAAGAGACCTGGCCCTTTGACCCCTTTCTTTGGTCTTGGGCAGCAGCAAGGGCAATATGACGTGGGAGGCCTGTTTTTTGAGAGCAGTTGCCTCTTGAAGAACCAGGGAGGCGTGACTGGATTTGCTACCAGTACAGTGAGCAGCCCCATCACTATTGGACATGTTAAAGAAACTAAAACAGGAGTCCTTTCTGTTTATTTTCTTTGTCCTTTCCTGAATGCGTAAAACCTATATCCACTTGGGATTAGCAGGCAAATTTTGTAGGAAAAAAGTCTCTGTTCCCCCTTCAAGAACTTTGCTCCTAAAAACCCCTCTTAGTCATTTTGGCTATTAGCATGGCAGTACTAGAGGTGGCAGTGTCAGCAAGGGGAAGGAACTCCAAGGCTGAGAAGAAAGTGAGGGCACGGGGGGTGGTGGTGGGGGAACAGCACCACATCACTTCTGGCAAGGTGCAGCAGTGCACAGAAACAAGGAGAAGGGTACTGGCTGGCATGGGTGGCAGCGGGGGGCTCACCTGATGCCTCAAAGCACTAAGAGCAGGGGTCTCCAAACTTTTCAGTATGAGGGCCACATCATATATTTTACACAATTTTGAGGGCTGAAGGGGGAGAAAGCAGCTTTATAATGAATGAAAAAGTTTTATTTGGATCAACAGACTTGTACTTGCATACAATATTAATGGGAATGATGGAACTGCTTGTTTAGTTTCAGAATATTGCCAAATTTAAGTTTCAAGCTTGAGGAGTCAATTACTAGAATGGAAGTTTATCTTGTCACCAGATAAACTTTCTCAATAGTTGGCATACTTTATTCTTGAAAAGGTTTGCTCACACAGGTATGTTGTAGCAAAAACTGACACATATCTATCTGAAAGCAAATCACTTCAAATTTGGAAACTGTTCAGGCTCCAAAGATTTATAAAAACTGGATCAGATTTCCTTCTTTATGCATGTCTTTCAGTCTGAACATGTCTGAACTGAAATGCCAGGAAGGAGCCATTGTGCCATTATTCATCTTAGATTCATTTCCCCATATTCCCTGCATGCTGGCTTTCAGTTGCTATACAGTAGGACCACCATATTCGCACGATCAGTACCCACAGTTTCACTTACCCATTGCCTGAAAATATTAACACTCCAACCCTCGTTTCTAAAATGTATTATAAGAACTAGCCACTAGAGGAACCCAGAAATTATACAGTATAGAATAGTGATGGTGAACCTTTTTGAGCCCGAGTGCCAAAACTGCAAAACAAACAAACAGCGGGTGGGCAGCGGTGGCAGAAGCAGAAGTGGAAGCAGAAGCAGAAGCAGAAGGGGGAATCTTGGGCATGGAGGTGCCTCCAGACCCCACTCCAGATCCACCTCCAGTCAAGCACAACCCCACCACCGTCTATAGCTCGACCAATAGAAACACAGCTGGTCTGCCAGTGTCAGCTGTTCCAGATCCTGGCCCACTGCCTTTCAGGGCAATATTGCCATGGCTGCAGCCACCTTCTCCCGTTTGAATGCTGGTGGTAGCGATCTGGGGACTTAAAAAAATTATAAACCAATTTGTGTTTCATCGGTTCATGGGGAGAATTCATGGTTCTTGTGGTTCATCGCCATCTCTAATTTAGAGTGTTCTGTATTACAAAAACACAGAACAGTTATGTTTGTCCCAGCCCTGAGTGCTTTCAGTAAACATTCTCTCAGGATTTCTGAGACCAGGCTCCTGACAAAGGGGAAGTCAGCTTCACGCCTGAGGCAATCTGAGCTTTAGAACCTGTCAATCAGGATGTGATGAAATGTTTAACTCCTTCCTGCCAAAATAGGGATTTGTACTTGCAAAAGGGTTGTGTAAAAGGCTTGTAAAAATATTTTGAAATACTGTATATTTTAAAAATAATAGAGAACATATATTCAGACACTCACTAGTTCAAGCTCTGAAATCACTTTTTTTTTTTTGCTTTGTGGCTGTGATTGTCTTATTTGATGTTAGCAGATTTTGATGCCTATATCCTATCATAGTCTCAACCATTCCACCCATGTTGTCACCAAACAGTTGTTTTGTAATTTAAGGGCGGAAAAACCAAATATGTTATATGCCATCAAGTCACTTCTGATTGTTGAAAATCCATCCCTGGTCTGTGTGACTTCTTATAGGGAATGGTTGGTGGCAGCTTAGTGAAACTGTGGTATATCCCAGTAGGTCTGGGTTTGTCAGTCATTCAGAAGCCCCAGATTGATTGATTGCCCGGGGCTAATCCCCAGCTGTAACCAATTAGGGAGGCTATAGTGATTCTTCTGATAACTCATTTTCAGACTCAGAATCTGAGGAGTGTGAGCTATTGTTGAAATTCTCTTGTTCTTCTCTTGTTTTTTGAATTTTGCCACCTTTTTTAGTACCTTTTGCAGAGGAAATTGATTTGGTAAGCATATTTATTTTCTCTCCATTGTTTGGTTTTATTTTGTCTCAAACTTTTGTTAGACTTGGCTTGGTATTGTTACTCTAATGCCATCCCCCCCTTTTCTTAGAACATTTAGATTTTTCAGTGCCTGGAACCAAAATCTGTTTTGGTGATTTCTGATGTCAAATGATTTTCAGTGTTGCTGATCTTGAGATTGCATATAATTTGGTGTCAAGGATTAATATCCGCATGATGTTTTTGTTGTATTTTTCAATTCGGCATCAGAGATCTTAATACCCATCTCAACTGAATATAACACTCCCTTGTGCATTGAAATCTCTTTGGTTCTGATGACTTCAGCACCAAATCTTCTCTGTGCCTTCCATACCAATGAGCAAAGGATGCTGGTGTCACTGAGCATATGACTGATACACAGAGAAAGCCAGGGTGCTTCTCTCCCTGCACCCTCTGCTAATCAATGTAGGGTTGTAGATAATGCCAGTCTGGTACTTCATAACACTAAGGCACTGCACTGAAGAAAAAAGGTGGAGGACACGATGCCACTTATACCAAAGTGTGACAATGAGATGACTGAGATCTCTTAAGGTGTGGTGATCCTTTTTCTTCAAATGTTGAAGGAGACAATGCTGAGCCAGATGACTAAGACATTTTTCAATACTGAGGTGATTTTCCATGCCGGCAAAATGTTGAGCTTTCCCGAGGTGGTGATAGGTGAGTCACATTTTGTTGCATTATTCTTGGCTCATAGTGGCCGTGGCTGGGTCCTGCCTCCTATTCGCCTCCAGTCTGAGCCAGCCAGCCAATCAGAGGCAAGGAGGACACTGAAAAAAGAGAGCATATAGCCAGGGGGCCCTGGGGACCCAGGAGCCCCACAGTGGGAAGCAAAGAAAGCTTGCTGGAGGATGACGAGAGAGGGGTGTGGTGTGTGCAAAAGGGGCACCTCAACCCCCAAAATCATGGCAACCACTATTTTGCAACCCACAGGGAACACGTGCTCTAGAAAATACATTAAGATGTTGCCTCACCAACAGTGGAAAAGGAACTAAACATTGACAGTAGGGCGGAGAAACAAGCACAGTAGAAAAGGGATGAATTAATGGTTTTCAGGCTCTGGAAAATGTTAAGGATACCCATGCAGGCACAGAAATAACTCATATGTGTAAAACACAATGAAGAACAAAAAGTTGTGGAAGAAATGTCAGAAAACTGCAGTGGGTAAATGTAGCATGGTGACTCCCTAGTTATTAGGATGATTGAACCACTGGCTTAGATCAGGATCACCTACAGAGAAGCTGATTACATAATAAATGTGTTCAAGAGGACAGAAGGGAATACATAATACACTTTAATTACAAGTATTCAAATTTATTTGAAAATTCACAGTTTCTACTGGCACTATAAATCTGTAATTGATTACAAGTTCCAGTGCCGCAATTTGGAAGATTCACGCGAACAGTACAATCCTTCTGATTTCCATTCTGGTTTGGGCCCCCTTCTCAATCTTGGAAAAAAAAACAGCAACACAAAAACCCAGGTCCATGTATTTGACTGGCTAGCTGTGCAGTCTAAGTACACCACTGTAAAAAGTACTCTAACACATGAAAGCTGCAAAACAAAGATTTTAAATAAGTCACATTATGTATGATATTTAGGAAAGGCATTCCCTCTTAGGAAAAATAAGGAGGTGCTACTGAAAGTGCTCAATAAGTTAACTTGGACAATGTAACATTGAAAGGACAAACATTTCTTTCACACTCATTCTGCTGTACTCTCATTCTAGCTATTCATTAACTCATGTAAGAAAGTAGAAATACATGCACACACATTCAGACCTATATCATCCAATATAAACATTATGAACACATATTTTGGAACAGAATGTAGATTGTGCCATATTCCAAACTCTCTGTTGCTAGTGATGGCCTCATTTATCTAAAACTGGGGCAAATGGTCTTTCCCAATTTCCTAGTACAGGAAGACATCTAAACATCACAATGGTATTAATCTCTGTTAATTAAGCCAGTCTGGTCACAAGGCAAATGTGTTAGTATCACATCCTGAAGGGGTACAGTACCACAGAAAAGTGATATTAATTACTGCAACAGATGTACATAATTCTGGGCACAAATAAATTTGCAAAACAAAGATCTAAAGCATGGGTGGGCAATATGTGGACCCCACATGTGGTTGACAGCAAACCCTACTAGGCTATTTAGCACAGCCAATGGAGGGCTGATGGATGTAGAACTTGTAATCCAATAACACCTGGAGGACCATATTATCATCCAGCTCAATTTAAAAAGAGTTTACCTGGCAGTAGTTCCAAAGCATCAAAGTCATATTGCTTCATCTCCTTGGAGGCCAACATAGTGTTCAGTTACACAGCAGCGCTGTATTTTCAGAAAATTTAAAGGTACAAATAGAATTGTTCCCCTCCAGTAGTCTTACAAATAGAAAAAAGGCACAAAAATATGGGAAGGTGCTAGAAATAGGACCACAAAAAAGGGGAAACAGTTATGATTTAGCTCTGTTCCACTGAAATTGAACTTTGACCTCAGACTTTAAAACGCCAGCAACTGTAAAACACTAAAAATGAGTCCCTATTCCACAATCGCATTCATCCCAAAGTTGTCCATATATAAAGTCAGCTTTGAAACAGCTGGAGCTTATTAACCAAGGATGGCCTTTGCCACAATGCTATCTACCTTTAAAACAATCACCATACTTTCTAGATGTTTCCCAATGAAGTGAAGTCTTCTTCCCTGTCATCCAAATACTACAAGAGTCATCATATAAAAAGTTGTCATTATGAAGAGTTCAATTAATTCTAAAGGTGCCCAGAAATAGTTGTGACACCAAGTGTTCCCACAGTTAAATCTTTGTTTCCTTTGATGATATCGTGCAGGCTGGGCAAGGACCCCGTCTTAGTCTGTATTAAAGTTTTTATGAGCTTCTCCTGTTCTGGGGCTTTAGATCGCCTTCGTTTAAGAGCCCTCTTCTCAGTTTTTGTCTTTTGGATCTGTCCATTGCACAAACCTGTGCATGCTGAAATGCCACAAAAATAGGACTCTTCAGACTGTGATGAGGTTTCAGAGCTTCCTTCCGATGGAGGACCTTTGTATGAAGAGTGATACACATCACCTATATTAGAGAAGTCTCTCTGGTTTGTAAATGGCTTCCTGCTTTTTATTTCTCCATTAGGTACCTGATGTACTGGCTCAGCTACTGGCTTGACAGTTTCAATTTTCTCGCTTTTATATTTACAACGTTTCTTCTAGAAACAAAAGAAAGAATTACGGTATATTTCCATTTATAAGACGACCCAATGTATAAGATGACCCCCACTTTTCTAACCCCAAATTAGAAAATTTGATTGCTGCTTTCCCTGCCACTTCCTAAACCCGGGGCTTAGCAAAAGGAAGGGAAAAGCAGAGGTCCAAGGGCTTCCTGATCACTGAGTCTGCAACCACCAGCGGAGGCAACAGCAGCAGGAGGCGGAGACTGAGACAATGAAGCAGCTGCGCTCGGCTGCCTTTTGCTGCTGCCCATTGGCCACCGCCGCTGCCCAATCACAAAGAGACAATCGCTGGAGAGGGCAGCGGTGGCAGCAGTCAATGGACAACCATGAGAGGTGGCCAAGCCCGGCTGCTTCTTTGCCTCAGTCTCCGCCTCCTGCTGCTGCCTTCCATGTATAGCACAACCCTCAATTTTTCCTCTAATTATTTTAAGAAAAAGTGTCGTTTTATACACGTAAAAATACTGTAGTAAGCAAGTGCCCTTCAAAGTCATCCTTTCAATTCAGAGGCACAACTTCATATGGACCTTTCACCATCTTCTATAAATTGTCTTAACAGAAACCAAAGCTGAGTAGCAACACTGCTCTTCATCTAGCTAGACCTGCCTTTACATGTACACAACATAGAATCAAGCTAGGGAACAAGCTACTACCCACTGGTAAGTTAACTGCTACCAGTTTCACATTAGTATCAAGTGCAAATTTTGATATAATGAAGTACCTTTTTTTCTGGAGAAAATTTCAATGGTTCCACAATATAGAAGTCATCTGGGTCTACTAAAGGAAAAAAAATGTTCAGAGTGTATAGAAACACTACTAAATTTATACTAATCTATGTATATGGTTGTAACCCAGTTCATATTGTGGCTACCACCCCCAGTGCTGTTTGGCGTCACACATTTTGAATTCACCTTTGAGAACCAAACAGGCACATACAACTATCAGGAATATTTGGGATTCTCATATATTTCCATTTTCAATAACATTTTTGTGCACAGACTGAGGTAGATTGATTTACATCAAAAGCTAGCTGTTCAGGGTTTTTTAGTGATACAATACAGGTATCACTTGTTCTTGTCTATGGTTTTCATATGGTGAGTTTTTTCTTTTAATAATGTAATTTATTCTATAGCAATATTTCCCTTTAAAATGATTTGTAAGCAACATTGAGCCCCCTATGATGGAAAAAAGGTGAGATATAAATAAACTGCACAGTTGAAAAAAGTAAGGATCTATGCACTCCTGAATGGGTGAGGTTTTATTGATGTGAATGCCTGGAATACATAAACTTTCCTTATGGGAGAAGAGGAAAGGAGCAAAAAGGTAGGATGAGCATATGTGGTGAATGAAAAGCCTCCAACAAGATGCCTGCAGCTTAACTGTTTGAAGGAGTACAGCTTAGTCCTTGTGGTTATGACTTGGAAGGATACTAAGGAGTTATGTACAAATACAGTGAAACTGAACTATTATTGAAGTTTACTCTTTCACTAAATAAGGGGTAGGATTAGCCTTTGATTTCATGAAAAATGCTGTATGACTTCACATGATTTTGCATTGCTGTGAAAAACCAAGTTTAACCCTCTTATACTGAGTAATGATAAAAGTCTGGCAATCAGCTTGATTATTCATTGGCTAATATACTTGATGGGGATGTGGCGGCACTGTGGGTTAAACCGCAGAAGCCTCTGTGCTGCAAGGTCAGAAGACCTGCAGTTGTAAGATCGAATCCACGTGACGGAGTGAGCCCCGTCGCTTGTCCCAGCTCCCGCCAACCTAGCAGTTCGAAAGCATGTAAAAATGCAAGTAGATAAATAGGTACCACCTCGGTGGGAAGGTAGCGGCGTTCCGTGTCTAGTCACGCTGGCCACGTGACCACGGAAGATTGCCTTCGTACAAATGCTAGCTCTATGGGATGGAAATGGAGATGAGCATCGGCCCCTAGAGTCAGACATGACTGGACAAATTGTCAAGAGGAAACCTTTACCGAATACACTTGATAACTAACTATATTGCCATGGAAAGCACACTACTGTAGCTACTGCTAACATTTTTCAGCTTCTGATCAAGGGAGGGGGCACTCAATTAAGTTAGCTACCTAATTCTTGATAGCCATGGAGAATTTAGCCATTTAGTGGTTAATTACATGATTTCCCCCCGCAACTGACAAAAAACCAGACACAGGTATAAGAGCTTTTGCACTACAAAACGAAGATTCTGCACTTCAGTACAGCAAAGATTTTTGCAGTAAAATGTTGTAATAACAGGTAAAATATTGACATTCCTACCTTCTTTACTGTTTAACTGAAAAGACTGAGATCTGGTGAGTGGAAAGGATGTTCTTCTTTTCAAATTCATATCATCATAGGATGAAACACATCTGCAGATGAAAACAAAATATCCATCTCTAACCAGAAACTAATTTTCTCTCTCCTTATTGCCACTCCTCAGAATTTCCTAAATCCAACACTAAGTCTTTCATGTACAACAGTTCTCCCAAACCTGTCATTTGTATTTTTTCTTTCATTAAGACAGGAAATTAGTGCAAATATGCAGTATTTCCTTTCCATCAAATTTGTAACACTTAGTATTTTAATAACAACTTTTACCTGGCCAGTTAGGAAAATGTTATAACCAACAGGAACATCTTCACAGGTGTTTCTTATATGAACACCCCTTCTAAATGCAAGAACAACCTCTTGACTACTTTTATTCTCATGAAGCCGTGGACAAATGTGAAAAGCTGTTCTTTTACACTTGTCCTATTGAAACTAATGTGAGGTGGGAGACAGCAAAAAAAGGGGAAAAAGACCATATATGCATTAATATTAATATTGATTCCTGCGCACATGTAGATGTACTTGAATATCAGAACCCCTATACTATACAGTAGGCTTCCCCTATCTGCAGGATCAATATTCACTGATTCATTTATCTGCTGCTTAAAAATAATAAATGAAAACCCCTCAAAAATACAGCGACCTGGTATTAAAAAAAAAATCCAAGGTGTATTTACCAGAACTGGCCACTAGAAAGAGCCAGGGACCATACAATGTATAACATTCAATACTTCTGCGTTTTTCTGCCATCTGGAGGGGGGCTTGGAACAGATCCCTGCGGATACAGTCCTACTGTGCTGTACTGCACTACACTAATATGTTTTCTGTTTCAAGCAGCAAAATATCATACATGTACATTTTTAATAAACCTGAAAAATACAATTAAGTCAAAATTAAATAGATTACAGGGTTCTGACTCATGTGAAGAGGCTACCAATGTAGGACAGCCTCTCCTTCAAAATGTGTTCACAAAAACAGTATGTTCCTGTCAGTGTGTATGGTCTTTACATGCCTCAGTTAACAACTGAATAAGGGCTTTTGTGAGAAGGCTGTGCTGTACAGTGGTGCCTCGCTAGATGATGATAATCCGTTCCACTGAAATCGCTGTTTAGCGAAATCATTGTCTAGCGAA